TCAGCCTCCCGTCCCTTGACTTCTGACACAGGCTTTTGTTGTCCCTGAATGGGAGTTGCTTATGGGCTGTCCAGCTGGGTTTTTTTTTTTGGAGGGGGGAGGGAGGGGGGAACATGGGCAAGTACATACACATTTGCAGATTTTTCTTCCCCTTTGGAAAAAAAAAGCATTGGAACTCTGTGGGATGTCTCATAGCCTTTCAGAGTCTGAATTTCTCTCTCCTTGTCTCTACTAAGTACCATAATCTACAAGAATACATCATAAACAGGTTGCTTTGGCAAAGAATGAGGGAAGAAAATGGTCAATTTGAAGAAACAGTCCTTCTGATAATGAAGAGAAAAAAAAAAACACAATATCTCCTTCTCATGCAGAATCTAAATGAACCACTGAATGAGGTCTGGCTCCTTTTGCCCAGAGGGATATTGTACGTGTTTATGCATTGAAAGGAGAAAAGAATAGAACAGTTGCTTTTAGTGCCTGAGTGTTGCCTCCTTCCTTCACCCCAACTTCTCAGGAACCATGGAAACAAACACACCCAGCCTAGACGATGTTTTCCTGATAGTCCTTTGTTACCTAACTCTGCACTGCCAGGCATCCCATGGAGAGAAGGAAATAAAGAGGAGGGAAAGAAAGGAGTTATTTTTGCATGTGAAATGCTTCATCCTTGAAGAACAGAGTAGGGTTTGCAGGTGATTTGTGGAGCACTGGGGTAGCATGTTCTCCTTCTTGTGATAGATTCATAAGCATGCCATGTTACCCAAGCTCCTCACACTGTCTGGAGAAATCTTTTGATTAATCAACATGCTTTGTTAGTAGAGTTTGCTACTCACCCAACTTCCAGAAGATTTTATTTTGTTTTTAAAAATCATTCTCACTGATTACATAACCTGGAATCAATTGGATAACATAGGAAGGCTCAGAACCAAGGAAAGAATCCAATATTCAGGCCAAGTGTGGTAAGGTATGCCTGTAATCTCAGTATTGGGGTTAGAGGATCATGAGTTCCAGGCCAATTTGGAATATATAGAGAGACTTTATTTCATAAGAAGAATCCAGTATGAGTTATATCACTATGAACACATATAAAATAAGCCACAATAGCCCAGATCATACATGCTATGTTTCAGAAGCCAACTACCACTAATTAAATGTGATACCATGTAAAGCAAATTACCTCCTAGGACATGAAGTAGGACAGTTTATGACTGCGGCACTGACAGTCTCCTTATCTGACGTGACAGAGACGAAACACAGGAAACCTTTGTAGAATCTGAGACGATCACATCCTACCTCCTGTACAAAAATGGAAAGGATAGGATCTCTCCTATTAAGGAGGCCTTAATAAAAAAAAAAGAGAGAGAGAGAGAGAGAAAAGTCCCCACAACAACGACAACAATAGCATATTACAGCAGCTAGGATCATAAGAAATCCCAAAGGGAAAACTGAAAACCCCACACAGGGGGATCCACTGGTCTCCATCTTATTTCCTGCCACCAGTGCTGTGCTTCTCTGGGCCACTGGTCCCCTGTGCGGCGTGGTCTTCAGGCCTTCCATGCTTCTGATTAGTGCTTCACTTTGTTTTCTTAGTTATTATCACAAAATGGATCTACCAATATGGCAGCCCCCAACTCAGGATCTCTCCATACTGCCTCCTGCTGCAGACTGTGATCACATGTGATAACATGCCTATCTCTCAACATTATTTCCTCCATACCCAACTGGGCTGGAGTGTCCTGTACCTCCAGAACTCTCAACCCTCAGATCAAGCCTTCTTTCCCTATTTTATTGACTTAGAAACTCTACCCAGGCCAGTTCCACCACCATCTACCTACCATCACTACCCTTCAAAATCCTGCTTGTCTCTTCAGTCCAAACTCAAATGCAATTAGTTCTGCAAAGATGCTAAGGTGTTTTCAAAGAACCTGGGCACTCTTAGCTCCTTTGTGTGTGTATGTATATGTGCTTGCTCTTTCTTTTTTTCCTTTCTGTTCTTGGTATGTTTTATACCTCCTTGATATTAAGCAAACCAAGTAGCTGTGAACACAACACTGAGTCCATTTTTCCTTCCTCCTTGAAAGGAAGGATTGGACCTTGCTTTTCTCAGTATTTTACTATCTATAGAGTAATTTTGCCCAGAGTAAATGCTCAGCCAATATATTTATGTTTAATTCTCCCATCAACATGTGCGTGTGAGAGCACACACTGTGCAAAAAAGGGCAGGTGGTAGAATTTTAATTTCTTATGTAATTTAAAGGTGCAAATTAGAAAATAAGCACAGTCTTGAGAGGACAAAAACTACCAAACAAATTGACTGAATCTTACTAACCAATTAGATCAAAAAGTAGGAGGGACAACTGTTGGCAAATTAAGCCGACCACTCCTGTCCTAAGATTCGTAGGCCTTTGGCTCTTTTGACCAAGCTAAGATAAAGTACTAAAGAATTACCCAGTCAACATCACCACATAAGCTTCCAGAGGAAAATGAGCTAGAGAATCAGACATCATTATTCTGACACTCTTGACTCTCATTGTGCCACGAGGTCAACACATGTCTTCACATTGTTGTCCTTATATCTATAGTACACAATCCCCAGCCAACCATCAAGCCCTGCTGGATTCCAGGAGTGTAGCCTAGTCTTTCTTATGATGAAACACGCTAAGTATTATTATGAATACAAAAGCCTGCAGGCTGCCTTTATGCAAGAATGTGAAGCTGATATTTGTGCCTATATTTGTGTCTTAAGACATCCCAGGGTCAAATTATTGCACTTGTGTGTCTAATGCCACGGACAAAGGAGATCCAGATAACAAAGCTTTCCCTGGCAGTGAAAACCAAGAATAAATATGGACTATCATCATCTTCCTTTCTCTGACTTATCTTGATAGGACAAAATGTCAGTAGAAGAACAATGCACTCTTCTTGATAAATTCTGCCTTCCTCATTCTCTTTCGCTCTCTTGCACACACACACACACATACACACACACACACACACACACACACACACCTTTCCTTATACCAAATACTAGGTGTGAAATATTGAGTCAATTTACTCTCAAATTTCAACCACATTTTTAGTTTTATTCAGTCCAATCTAACCAACTCTAAGGGCCACAGAGCATTTTGTGCACTGTGTATTAATTCTCCAAAACCAACATGGACCACCCACCAACTGAATTCATTCTTTTCAATGGAACCAGTTTTTCAAAGATTCACAGACTAAACACTGACATTTTCTCGCCCCCCCCCCTCTTGTTCTAATGTCAACCAAGCACTTACTAGCTTGCTAGATGCTAGGCTGGGTCCTTCTAAATATTATCTCTTATTGTGGCTTCACAAAACACCTAGTACATAGGTACTATTCTTAAAGATCCACTCCCTGACCCCGTCCTAGATCATAACACTTCAGGTGGGTCAGAAATCTCAAAGCACTTCATTTTCATGCTAAGTGATCTACTTAGAATTGTCAGTAAAGCTCTCTTCCAGAGAATGGAGTTGATCCCATTAAAAGGGAATATCTGAGCTGGACACCACCGCTGACTCTTGCCTGTAATCCTAGCTACTCAGGAGGCTGAGATCTGAGGATCACAGTTCAAAGTCAGCCTGGGCAGGAAAAGTCTGTGAGACTCTTATCTCCAATAAACCATTCAGAAAACCAGAAGTGGTACTGTGGCTCAAGTGGTAGAGCACTAGCCTTGAGCTAAAGAGCTGACGACAGCGCCCAGGCCCAGAGTTCAAGCCTCATGACAAACAAAAGAAAAAAGAGTGGGGGGGGGGGAGGATTGGGGGGGGGGGGGGGGGAGGCTGGGAAGGGAGGTGAAGGGAAACAAAGGAGGAGGCTGCAATGCTTGGTAAGAAATGTATGCATTATCCTGCCCATGTAATTGTAACCCCTCTGTACAGTATGTTCACAAATAAAATAAAATTTTAAAAAAAAGAAAAAAGAAAAAATGGAATATCTGGCTGAACACTGGTAGCTCACATCTGTAATCCTATCAATTTGGAGGCTTAGATCTGAGGATAACTTTGAAGCCAGAAAGACCAGGAAAGTCCATGAGACTCTTGCCTTCAATAAATTACCAAAAAAGCCAAAAGTGGAGCTGTGGCGCAAGTGGTAGAGTGCTAACCTTGAGCAGAAGAAACTCAGGGCCAGTGCTCAGGCCCTGAGTTCAAGCCCTGGAACCTAAACACACACATACACACACACACACACACACACACACACACATAGAGGAATCTATTACTTGTTATATACCATTCACCTGTAATGCTTTTGTAACTATTGAAAACCATGTATACAGATAGTTTTTAATATTTTGGGGTAAGGGAGTTATTTAAGTATGCCAAAAAACCCAAAGTCTCAGGTCCAAGAACCCTGATTTTTACACACCTTTCCAAAGCAGAAACCCCCCAGCCCCTCCCCCACCACCATCCTACTGTGGTTAAGTAGATAACCAAGCTAATATGAAGTCACTGAATGCTAACACAGTTCCTGGAGGGATCCAAGAGATTCTAAGATGAGAGGTGCTGTCTCACAGAGCTCCGTTGGACATAGTTACTCGCCTAGAGGACTGGCCTCAGCCAGTCCTTCAGGCCTTTAATTTCCTCTTGGATTCTCATCCTCTCACACTCTGACAAGTCATTTTAGATACAAAAAGAAAGAAAACCACTCCCTATTCACATGCATACCTTTAATAACACGGGAGAAATGACAAAAGAGGGCAAAACACCAAATCCATGTGGCATCTGTTCCACTCTCAAATATTAATGTGGACAATACACACACTACTTAAAGGGAAAACATATCTGGGAAGCAAGTAGGGACGGGATCAAGTTTATTCAGAGAAACCCAGCAACTTCAAATACACCAGTACAACACTGACAAGCTTCTTCCTACTCATGGTCCAGTGGTTCCCAGGTGTTCATATCTTAGAGCACTTTTGAGACCACTGACTGGTCTTCTCCCTGTCCCCAAGGAATTAATACAGAACTATGGAAAAGTCCTTTTTTATAGTCTTCTTTATTTGAAATGATAGAAAATGAGAGATAGGAAAGGTAGTCTCTCATCCATAGAACCCTATTGCAATAGCAGAGATAATGACCCAATGGAGTTTTGATGCTGTATGGTATGTTATGCTTTTTCAAATCATTGTCACATACATTCCTTCAATGAACCCATACAATAGATTTCTTGTTTACAACTGAGAAAGTGGAAATCACAAGGAATTTGCCCAAGATCTAACATCTAGGCTAGGACAACTGTGGCTTGAAGCCAGATGACATGATTGGTCCACCATTTCCAGCAGGTCACACAATACAATGCTCTATCCTGTGCTCTTCTCTCTGATTTCTCACTCCATACTCAAGTTGCTTGTCAGTTAGCAATACTCACTAACTAGAAATAGGCTTCATGAGAAGAGAAACACAAATCCTTCTTTGACAAGTTTATGTAGATATAAAAATAAACGTGGCATTCTTCTTTATTGCTTTTATATGGATGTCTTTGCTAGATAAAAGGCCCTACCGGGGAACAGTTCATTGACCTTTTATTTCTATGTACACGTAATACTCCTTTAGTAATAGCACAGAATTCACATCAGGAAAATATTTGCTAAATATTTCCCACTGTCTCACAGCTTGGACTATCAGTTTCTCCCAGATGTGAAACATCTGGGTGGGTGCACTAAAACACAGCAAAAAACAAAGTGATGTTTCCCAGATGTAGAAGAAGACAGCTGTCCTCAGGAATCTGTCATTGGGCCAGATTTAGGTATTCAAATTTCCCAAAAACCCTTCTCCCACTACCTCTCCCCGTAGCTTTTATGACTGAAAAAGTGTCCAAGAGGTTGACCAGATAGCTGCATAAAACACTAAGACGGTAGCCATGAGAAGTTAGTGATGGCCCCATGCAATATGATCATGGAATGGTTTTCCAGACCCTGCTGGCAGAAAGTGAGTGGAATCACTCTCAGGTGTTTGCAGTCAAGTGAAGGACTTCGCAGGAAGGATGCCATCTTCGGTGTGGGGCTCAATCTTCTCATGTCGAAGGTGGTATTCAGGCATACCACTGAGCCCTCGCTTTCCCGAGAAAACAACAGAAATCCTGTTCACACTGTTTCTATCTTGGGAAGAGTCACAGGCCCCAAATGTTTATTTGGGGAGGTGACTGGAAGAAAAGCTTGTTCCATACCAGGTTTAGAAATATCTGGGAAAATACTCTGTAGTCGTGCAAACTTCTGAAAAGGTGAAATAAGAGACAAGTTGGGAAGTAAGTAATTGGGAAGATACAACTCTCATCAACTCCCATTTAAACACTATTCCTTAAGAACTTGCTGGACGTCTCCTTCTAGAAGCTCATGAGTGACCTTCCACATCACTCTTATTAAGCAAGGTACCCATGTCATTTCCTTGGGCTCTCTAAACTTGGCCAAGAGATTCATGGGTTCCACAATCCTTATTAGAGAGAATTATACAGAAACTTGGTGCCTTAGAAGCAGGCACTTGCCTGAAAGTAACTACTGTCACTTGTTTTGTTATTGTTTCTGTTTTTAATATTTACTGTCTGGTAATTCTAATTATGCTTTTTCCCCCTAATACTGGGGCTTGAACTCAAAAGTTTCACTCTCTCATGTAGATTTTTTCCAATCATAGCTTGTACTCTAGAACTTGAGCCATGCTTCAAGTCCAACTTTTTGCTGATTAATTGAGGATAGAGTCTCTAGAGGTAGCATAGAGAAAACACAGGTAGAGACTGAATGGACTAGCTTTGGGCATTGACCCTTATATCTCAGCCTCCTGAGTAGCTGTAATTACTGGCAGGAATCACCTAGGTCCAACACCAGTCATTTTAATTATCTTATATGCAACTAGTTCTCCCAACTAACCATAAACTCCATGAGGACAGGAAAGATATCTTAACCCTTTTTATGTCCTACACAATTCCTGGTAAAGTACTTTTGTATACAGTAGGTACTCACAGAAGTCTTGTTTGCATACACTTACTCTTCATTTTAAAATCTCTTATATAGAGCCCATACTCTGAAGATTAGCCTACCATTTAGTTAAAACAAGAACTTTATTTAAAGTGCTTATCTAGCATTACAAAATCTTGGGTTTAATTCCTAGCACCACCAAATTTTTTTAATTACTTTAAGATCTTTTCAGGTTAACAAAGATCATTCTTTGTGAAATTGATATTTGTGTGTGTATGTGTGTATGTGTGTGTATGTGTGTGCATGTGTATGTGTGTATGTGTATGTGTGTATCTGTGTATGTGTGTATGTGTGTGTGTGTGTGTGTGTGTATGTGTGTGCTGGTTCTGAGGCTTGGACTCATCCTGGGCACTGTTATGGAGCTTTTTTGCTCAAGGCTAGTGCTCTACTACTTGAGCCACAGCTCCACCAATGGTTTTTGGTGATTACTTGGAGATCAGACTCTCATAGACTTTTGTGTCTGGGTTGGGTTCAGACCACAATCCTCAGCACCCAGCTTCCTGAGTAACTAGAACTATAGGCATGAGCCACCAGCTCTGGTAAGGAACTAATAATAATATTTTAAACAGATACTCACACAAGTGAAAATGATGAGTGTCAAGTAAAAAATGACCAGAGAGAAGAGCAGCACAATCTCAGCTCTGTATTTCCTAAAAGTTGATTCTTCAGGTAACTTGGGACATCCTTTCAGACAGAGAGAGGGAAAAGAGAGAGAGAGCCATTAAAGCATCCCATTAAACAAAGCCATGTTAACACAATTCTTCTTCCTCTCACACCTGTGCTGTCAGGAAGAGCCACTGTCCTGGCTCTCCCTTTGCGCCTCAGGATGGGCACACAATGCTTCCTGAACATGTGCCTTGGGAGAGGAAAAGCAGAAGTCAGCAGTGCTCTGGTCAATTCCCCTCTGCTCTCTACAGGACAACCTGCCCTTTGGCTCTCCTCTGAAAAACTACCCTTATTTCTCATCCATGCGCATAATATGCAGAGAAGGCTTACTGTGTGCTGAAATATTCAGAGAACAAAACAGAGCTCTTATTCTCTTAGTGGAGATGGAAGTGAAGCAATTCCTATACAACATTTAAGACATAAAAAGAGCCAGGCACTGGTAGCTCTCAAAAAGCAAAGAGACCCACGACCAACAACAACACAACAACAAAAAGCAAAGTGATGATGTGCTTGCAGCTCCACCACCAGCCACAGAAGTGATCGGAAGTGATGGAAAGCTGCAGGGTGTAGTGGCAGAGGCTGGATCTCAGGACCTACAGCCAGCCCTGCAAGCAGCTCACCTGTCACTTTCAGAAGCACCGTGCCACTGAGGTTTTTCTGCTCTCCCAGGTCCTGCAGAGTGCACCTGTATGTGCCTGAGCTGCAGCCCGTGGTGTTCTGGATTTTTAAGGAATAGGGTCCTTTCCCAGAGGTCTCAATGGAAGTGTTCTGATGATAGTGTTGCCCACTGGCACGCAGTCCTTCCTGAGGGGGCTCCAGTCTCTGCTCTCCGCTCTCTGTGAGCTGTGAAGAAGCAACAACAGTACAACATGCTTGCTGATGGAATACTCAAAATCTGAATTCACCTATGGTTTTACAAGTTATTTTCTCAAAACTCATCTTTGGATGGTTCTAAAGCAATATTTGATGCTTTATTTTTGTGTATGCAAACTCAGGGGGAAGTGGAAAAAAATCTATTTAAAAGAAAACAACACTTAAATGCTATTATATATGTATATCAGATATTTATATAGATATTATGTATATTATGTATAATATACATATGTAACATATATACATATCTACCATATATAGACATATTATTTATTAGTATATATCATAAGATATATATACACAATATATATTAATAATATATGTTATATAAATACATCATATAATTATAGATGTATATCTTATTTAAAAATAATTTCTGACCTGAATTTTGTGATTCTAACACCAATATGCCAACTTCTACCCTCAGAAAGAACAGCATCACTGTCAATGATGGTAAGATATTGAGCATGAACCACTGTGTGTTTAATTTTTGCTACTGTTGGTTCTATGTCCGATGTTCACTTTTCTTCAGAAACCCACTCACTCCAGGAAACGGTTGTAACTTTGGATCCCAGATTTTTGTTTGGAAAAGTTTCTGAGTCTGAGAAGGTCATCCTCAGACAACTCATCTCAAACCAATGATGAGATAAACAATGCTTCCTGTAGTCACCCCATTCTTCAAAGGCTGAGATGAATGGCATGATCACATCCAAGTCCCCGAACATGCCATGCTTTCTTCTCTATACTCAGTCCAGAAGACAGCTGAAGGGACTTCTTTGTGGTGGTTTCATGGGTTAGATCTTTGGACAGTTATATCAGGCTACCCAGGGAAGGTTAGTAATAGTGTGCCTCTCTGTACCCACAATGCACCAGCCCAATTTAGCCCATTAGTCTGCCAGGGCTTCTCTCCCTGGACCACCTATGTGATTCAACCAGTGAGGAGCTGTCAGCATCTTCTACTTCAAGATGTCCACACACCATTCATTGTCATTTCTCTCTTTTCTGGACCCATTCCTAATTTGTCAGATCATTTCCACTGAAACATGGTACCACAACTAAAATGGATTTACACCCACAGTAAAACAAGTCATTGTGCTCTGGGCTCACAGGCCGTCTTTCAACCCAGGCAGACATCAGCAGCACCCAAGCTGCCTTTTGCTGCTTGCCTGGAGACCAGCTGAGAGCCCTGGTCAAGCGGCACCCCTTCTTGTCCCAAAAGCCTTGTAGAATCCCTCAAGAGACACAATAGGGAAAGAGATAAATTAGCCACCTCCTATGTGGGGAGCACTCTGTGGCCTTCAAAAAAAGGAAGCCTAAGCCAGGAGTTGGGGAAATATACCATGAAGGATTGTGCATGCACGCGCACACACACACACACACACACACACACACACACACACACACACACACACACACGAGTCAGCTGTGCTTAATTTCTGAAGCAAGGATAGCATTACAAGGTCACCCCAGCTCCCCAGCTCAAGTTCCTCTTCCTGTGGACTACAGAGACATCTGCTGGCAGATTTATGGCTCACCCCTAGCACCAGATTGAGATGAATGACTCTTCTCAGGCTGCGTCTGTGAAGGTAAATCCCATCTCTTGATGGTCCTTCTTGTGTTTAAAGGTTCCTTTCTAAATAATCAAGGATCTATGGGGGGGGGCGCTAAATGATTGGAGCCTTTGGGTGTTCAAAAGTAAAACTATATAAAAAGGAGAGCTGGGTAAAGAACCTTGGAGGAAATGGAAGGCATCCAGCTGGTCCTAGAACATGTTGAAGTAAGCACAATTTTCCCTTTTTGAAGCCTAAATAAATCACAGACAGTAGTTTCTCATTGCTCCCTCTCTTCCACTTAACCCCTTTAGCCCAGCACAGGGGCTTCTTCTTAGCAAGCAGAGATGGCTGAATGACCATGCAGAGCCAATCTATGCCACCTGCCCATAAAAACCAGTTTGAACTAATTAACTTACCCTATGCTGAACGGTCCAGGTTACTTTCTAATCTAACCTCTAAATGTAAATGTGGCTGTGACAAGCATTTTGTGGTGACCTACCTCTGTTTTTGTTTCATTTTGTTTTGTTTCCTGGAGAGTGTCTCTTCCACCCCATATCCAATCCCTCAACTCAGAAAGGCTAGGGAGAAGTTAAGATTAAAAATCGCAGAGCCCTCTGAGGGTCGATGGAAATTATAAACAGTGTAAACAATGGCACCTATGAAGGGTCCCATAATGGAGCTACCTGCTAGGAATTATGGCTCAAGAAGGGACTTGAGGTCAGAACTAGCTGACAGTTGCTTTCTACCTATTTGCACAGGAGAATTCATTTTAACATTCAACAGCTACAACAACCAAAGGAAGTGTATTTAATGGTCAGATTCCTATGGGTCTCTGGCAACATTTCCAGACTCTGGTTATTTTTAAATGGCAAGGCAAGACCAGAGGAAGGACAGGAAAAAGAATGGGGGTGGGAGGAGAGATGGAAAAACAGAATGCCCAAGCAACCTCCTACAGAATTTGGCTTTACTAACTGGGCATCAGTGGGATCATGGCAAAACATCTCAGTTCTCATGAGGTCAGCATCCTAAGACCCCTTCTCTGAAGGACACTGAGAACTAATAACATCACTCAGAGCTCTTGTCCAATGAGTAGACAAAGCACTGTTGGCCTTATGACTCCAACAACAATGTCCCTCCTCTCCCAGTGGATGCCTTGACCCATCGACACTTCTGCATTAGTATCTATGTATATACAGACCTATGAAAAATTCACTGGATCAATTAGGTACACATTTTTCATCCTTGTCTTCCTACCACCCATTTACTACCTTTTCCATCTTGCCTAAATATACCTAATCATCATACACTGTGGCCATGTTTACAGTTTGTGATGTGACAGCAAAATAAGATGCTTTTCTTTTGCTTTCTTCAAAACTTCAAAGATAAAAGATCTGTTCTTGGTATATGTTTAGCAACTGGACTTGTTAGCACTGGACTTGTTTAATTTTTTCCTTATTAAATCGTGACTTTTGTTTTTTTTGCTTTTTCGTGTAAAGAAAGTACCTTATGGATTCTCTTTGGCATATCCGCATTACTGCTCTTGGGCTTTGTGATCATGATTAAGTAAATTATGGGATACTTGGACTTAAGCACTCTGAAACCATGATCATTGATCTGATAACAGAAACGGCTACTAAGAGATTAACAGGCAGGTAGTGTATACAATGTGGAAACACTGAACAAAAATGATGACTCGCTGGCAGGCAGAGAAAAAATATGAGATCTCATCACACTCCTCAGAATAGCAAGCATCTTAAAACTTGTGCATTGTTTGTCTGGCTTTCTATTTAATGTGTTTGATCCTGGTAACTGAAATGGAAGAAAGCACTTATAGCAAAAAGGCCCTTCTGCCAAGTCATATGTACTTAGTTTCAAGATCTAGGTATTTATAACGTCTATTCTCTCTTCCCTTTGCCACTTTAAAATATATCTTTTCATATGACTCTACCTGAATAATCTAGGATCTTTCCACTGCTGCAAAAATTGTAGTTTTCCTGTTAATGGTTCATGCTCAAAATGGGACTAGGACACGAGTGAGACCAAGGACTTCCTTATGCAAAGTTCAAATTGATTCTCACTAGCTGTGCTGCCAGGCCCACGTCACCCTGCCGTGTCAGCTGTGACAGGAAGAGCACTGAGGAGATGTTTCAGTTGGGATGAGACTAGAATATCAGCAATGAGTGATTTTCAACTTTGCTTTGTTTTATGAGTTCTTACAAGCATCAGCACTGGACTAAAATCAGTCACTGGCAAGAATGGCTCTTTAAACATTCCAAGTCTAAAAGTGTTACACTGCTTCTCTGCAAAAGCATTTTAGGAAATAGTAATTTATAACAAAAGGAAACCCTCTGATTCATTCACAACCAAGCATAATTGACGGGAACTATTTAATGCATACTTCCCAATGCTAATATTGTAGTACAGTGTGCTAAAGCACAACACAATTTGGGAAATTAATTCCTCAAAACACTCATCCCAATAATGTTTTAAAAATCCACACTCTGTGCATAAACTTTCATGCTGACAATTCTGCTTTTTTACTGAATTATAAAAGAGCAAAATAGGGGATATCTCATTTTTAGAAAGCCTAGGGACTTTGACTTGCCTCAGGGCCTCCAATTGGACTAAATAACTTAAATACCATATTCTTTCTCTAAAATGGAGATTTGACCTTAAGAAAATGACAAGCCCTAAATTAAAATAGGCTTTAATTTGCTGAATACTGCATCAAGCAAACACAAGTACTAATGGTAAAGGCATGTAAATTAAATAGCTTATTTTTAAATGATTATCAAATATGAAGTAGAACAAGAGAAATTAAGTAAATAAATATGACTGGAATCAAGCCAAGATTTCAATCAAGAACTATGGTACAAGTGCTTTCTAATACATTTACCTAATTGTATCTAAATGCATTTTAACCTCCTAGATTTCCATACTCAAATGGGCAACAGTTCATTCCTATATGAAAGAGAGGGTTTTTTATTACAAAGTTAAAATCCAACTTCATGATATGTTAGATCTCAAAGAATGTGTCATAAAAGGATAAATAAAAGGAATTGATTTTTTTTTAGAAGAAAGAATGTGTACACTGCTGCTGCTGGTGGCTCACTTCTGTAATTCTAGCTACTACAGAATTGAGATCTAAGGATCATGATTGGAAGCCAGCCAAGGCCAAAAACTCCATAAGACATGTATCTCTAATCAACTAGCAAAACGTTGGAAGTGGAGTTATGGCTCAATTGGTAGAACATCAGCTATAAGAGAAAATGCTAAGCTACTGCCCCTAGGCCCTGAGTTCAAGCCCTAGTACTAGTGAACACGTGCACACGTGCACACATACACACACACACACACACACATGAACATGTAAATATAGATAGATATACATATATTTCATTTAACAATTTGATTTTTTAAAAATTTTAAAGCTAGAGACTTTTAAGTATTTAAAGATAGCTTTAAATTAATCTAATGTATTCCAATTACATTGAACAGCTCTTTTTAAAAATTGCCTTTCTTGTGCACTAACATTCATGTAGCTTGGTTTCTAACTCAATTAAAGTGCCAATATAATCCCCATTCATCATAAAAACAGCTTTTTATAACGTGCAAAATAGTTTGGCTCAGAGGTTGATGTCATAATGAGGGTAGAATGTATGAACATTAACATTGCTTTTTTTTCTAAGCATGGTTTTATTAGAAAAATGATATTCCACTCTGAAATTTACTGTGTCTAACAGGCAGAGTTGGGCTTACGGCTGTTAACAAGAGTTACAAGTTTCGCAGAGGCAGCCTAATTAAGAGCACAGGCTTTGGAGTTGAATAGAGATGGGATCCAGTCCAATCCCACCATGGCTCCTTCTGCTCTTGGCCAATTGGCTAGACCACTCCCAGTTTGGTTTGTAACACTGGGACCTGGGGAGTTCATTGTTTCTCAAAGAGTTAAGGATGGAAACAGTTATGATGCTATGTTTATAGAACTTCCACCTGATATCAATCACACAGAAAGCCCAACAGAATTTCATTCGTATAGTAAATCACTCCTTACGCAGAGAAAACATTCAAAATACATTTTCTGAATAAATGAGTGGATCTTAGAAACAATGAGACCATTACAGGCTTTGGCATCAAAGGCCTATGATCACAATCCCCGATCTCCATTAGCTAGC